CCCAGATATGCTTAACATTCATAGATGGTGCTTGAATCTGCGCTAGAACCGTTTCTTAATACATGCAAAAAGGTGTGGCGCTGACTTTACCCACTAACTGGAGCACAACCTTAGCAGCAATGTAGTCCATTATGGTAAGTGTAACAAATGTAATTTTAAAGGACGTTTTGTGTTTCAATAAATGTAGTGGAGTAATGTATGCCCTATGTGCTTCTTCATTTATGCTTTGTTTAGTTGGTGTGTAATCTATATTGAACACATGGTTAAACTAAATCAGCCCAGATCCGTTCCAAACCCACATTTGTGCTGGTTTTGGGTTGTTATTAATGAAAAAAACAAAAACACATGGGCTCTGGTTGGTTTTACAGGGTCACGCCTAATGCTTGCCAATAGTTGGCCCTGAGCTGGTGCAGTTTAATTTCTCTATCAGGGTCTGTATTAATAACGAGAAAAGGATTGGGTAGCGGTTTGTGACTGTTCTTATTGTATAAAGCCAGGTTTTGCAAAATTAATCATGATATTCAAATAAAAACTCTGCACCACACCTGGCCTACATAAAGTAACTTTACAGAACTTGTGGCCCACCTGTGGCCCAGATCTATTGCAGACCCACAATCCAGAACTGCTATGACCCTGACTAGTTTTACATGTCTGAGCCTGATGATCTCTTACATCTGGTCCGGAGCTGGCACAGTTACTTCTGGTTGTCAAGTTTTCTTTCTTTACTAAAAAAAAAAGAATGATTTGTTTAAAAAAAGCAAAATCTGAAAACTTATTTTTATCTGTATTGTGTCTCCAAAAAGGTGCAACCACCATATATCACACTGAAAAATTTTCCAAAAAAGCATTTTTATTCACAGTTGTCTGCTGTGATACTGCTGGGAGACAGCCCTCTTTTAATTAAAGACCCATTGGATCTAACTAGAGGTTCTTTTTGGGGCTAATTAGTTGCAGGATGGAGCCACGACTGATACAGGCCATAGAGACATATGGGGATTTTTCTGGCTGGTCCGCTCCTGTGTTCGGCAAACATGTGTCTCTGACAACTTGTAGAGCATTGCAAAGGTTTGCAGTAGACAGAGGAGCATCAGGAGTTAAGTTATGGAGGAAAAAGGATCCAAAAGGTAGGAAAGAACAGCAGTGGGTAAATACTGGCTCACAGCTGGTAGCCAGTCTCCAATAGTGACCTTGTTCTTTTCCCCCCAGCATAAATGGCTGATAAATGGGGGAGCAAGGACGCAAACATGAAAAGAGGCCAGCATAGACTCACATATCATGGGCTTGTAAAACAGATGGGAATTCATGAGCAAAGAAGGCTATATGTTTTTGCGAATAAAAAATACAACATTCCCAAACTTTTTTGAAGTTGAAATAAACTTTGCTGACAGAAAGAATACTTCTGTTGGAAGATTAACAGTATTGAGGATGCAAGGTAGTCCTACTTCTTTAAGAACATAAAAGAATTTTACACAACTATAACGAAAACATTTACGGTAAAAAAAGGATGGCCAATTCATGAGAACCTGTCAATGAAACTCCTGCACAGTGATGCATTTGGTCACGGATGTTTAACAGGCAACCTCGTCCATCTTACTTTGCATGCAAGATAATTTGATGCAAGATTAGTGAATTCAAAAAAATGTATGTTAGCAGAAGTCTATAGATGCATAATCTTTAAATACAGAAATGTTCTGAATCAATGAAATGTAGTCATCTGTATCACATCAACCAGAAGTGAAAGGCTGAAGCAAAACAAACATGGCCGCGCTGCTGGATGCACCTGTAGACTCCGCTATTTAGTCTGTTTTAGCTGTAATACCCTTTATTTCTTTTTGGAAAATGAGCAAAAGTACACAAATTTGTGCCTTGGTGGATGGGAAAAATGTTTGAGAATTACTTCCAGCTGTATTTTGTTTATCAATTAATTCCACTAGTTGTGAAACAATCAATGATGCTTGACATGGGAGGCAGGTGCCACCTGGTGACTTACCCAATCAGCTCAAAGAATCGTACTGAAAGCAACCCCTCCTCCTGCCCTTTAGCAAATACTGTCTACAAAAACCTTTCCAGATTTCAATTCAATTCAATTTCAATTCAGTTTATTTCTATAGCAACAATTCACAACACATGTCATCTCAAGTCACTTTACAGTTCACAAGATCATACAGTCAAATTGATTCAAAGTTTTCTATCTAAGGAAAACCAGTTGATTGCATTGACTCATTGACTCAAATGCAATCCCTCACACTAAGCCTGCTTGTAGCGACAGTGGAGAGGAAAAACTCCCTTTTAACAGGAAGAAACCTACAGCAGAACCAGGCTCAGTGTGAGCGGCCATCTGCTGAGACTGATTGGGGTTCAAGGAAAGAGAACCAGAGATACAAAAAGCAGCTGTAAAAGGCCGCCCCATAGATACTTTGTAGAATTCAAATTTAACTACACATTTCGATCTGACTTATTCAAGGTTAACTCTGTTTGTACAGGCTGTGTCCACATTGTTTAAAGATGTGGCTGGTGATTTACCATGATAGAAAATAAAGAACAATTGTACCTAATAAATGGTGGTGAGTGCAAATGAAACATCTACCAATACAGCACTTTGTCGATAGTTGATATCTAAGGCGTGCACGCACCAGGCTTAGCAAAACCTCAAGCATTTGTAGGTTAACAAATATATAAAAAAAATGCTCCTGAATTGCTAGATCATGGATCTTGTAAGAAAGGCAGCTACAGCAGAGGCTGTTTGTAGCTCACCCTCATGGCCACATTTAGCAGTGAAGCAGAAGCTGTTGTGCAATCAGTGCTAATTCAAGGGGAGGCTTGTAAGATGCAAGCTTGATGGGATCAGTGAGAAAGTCTTCTTTGATCTCCCATCCCTGATAATATAGGTCATCTCTTCTGGGGGGAAACAACAAAAAACAAATGAGGTGGAAAACATCCTTCAACCCACCTTTTGGGAACGAGAAAGCAAATATGTAACAGGAGTAACCTAGTTGACCTGTTTTTATTATAGTCTTGATCCTTGGTGCTCTGAATGCAATGGATTGCCAGCCTGTTTGCAGATGAGAGGAAGAGGAATTTCTGAAATGTGAAATATCACATCTGTCATTTCCCATCCTGCTGCCTGTATTTGGAGCCCGTTCACACTGGGTATCCATGGCAACAGTTTTATAATGCCTCACAAAACACCTCAGAAGAGGTTCCTTTTTATCTGGGCCAGAGAGCTGGGACAGAGAATCAAATGTGAGAGCAAATGTGACAGGTGACGGGTTGTACGGAGAGCATACCCTTTTCAGCTTGACAGATGGAAATTAATGTGAGAAACAACAAAGAGCTCACCCACAGAGACAAGAGGATATCATGTCACATTGATCATTTTTGAGGCTCTACTTCTGCAGTTTTTGGAGTCATAGAAAGGCAGTCATCAGTTCACATGCCTGGGTCTGAGACACTAGCATGGGCATTTACTACACCTGAGTATGTTCCCAGGATACTCCTGGACAAATCCAGTCATGTGGAATACAGCAGGCGCAAGCTTGATGGCATGGTAGAGTGTGGCCAACCGGGTCTTCTGCAGGAAAGAACCTGAGTCGATGCCAGGACTCTAAAGGACCAATCAGCAGCAAGTCCTGCGCCTTATTCATGCATGCAAATAAGCTCATCTGAGCATGTACCTGCAGAATGCACTTATTTCTATGGATACAGCAGGAGTCACAGGACATTATCTAAGCAGGTCAGCCAAGTGAAAGGAATGTGGTGTCTTTGTGCTGGCTGCAGGAGGTTCTTCGACCTTCAGTTATGCAATCATTGCTCAAGTCAGCTGAAAGCAGCAGGACAAGAAGCATAAAAAAAGATTGTGCTTAGAACCAGAATATTTCAGACTGTCTTCCTGAAGACAGCTTGATACATGACAACCACAAATCCAAACATACTGTATTATATTTAGATTTTATGTGACTGAAAGTAGTGTACAGAGTGAAATCTAAATGATGCATGGTTTATTTCTCTCAAATATGAATCTTGAGATGATCTGGAGTTCCCAAATCTTGCCAGAGACTACAGTTGGGTTTAATTCTGAAATTCAAAGTTCTTATCGGGGTTTTTTTCACGCATTTCAAGGTCACCTATAGTCATATATAGTATAGTATACAGTAGTATACATTTGTGGGGAAACCAAGAAGAAAATCACTTGGCTTCAAAGCAAACGTCTCTCTCTCTCTTCTGAAAGCTGAGCAAAGTCTCACCTTTGAGCTAGAAACAACATTTTGCCTCACATCTACCCTTCATGATCAGAGTTAGTGTGCATTTGTTTACAGTGCTGATACAGTGCAGTCAACATAGGTGCTTCCTGGAGGGGGCAGCTCTACATGGGCATGCATCATTTGCTTGTTTTGGCAGGAACATGGAGGGGAGGCTGCTCAGAAAGCAGTATTGATGAGGATTTCTCAGGCATGCATTTTGTTGCCTTGTACCTGTACCTGTGTAATGACAATAAAGTTGAATCTAATGTAATCTAAGCTAAGCAAGTGAAGTACCACTTTTTGCATTATTGCAATGAAGAAATGGCATTATAACAAATTTGACCTGGTCGCCCCTGGGTGGTTTAATATGTTTCCACCTTACAACTCGGAATGCATGAAAATAAAAACGGTAAAATTTGTACCAATATAGACTTGTTAGACATCATTAAAAAGCTTAGATTCTCCAAAATTCAACCACCCAGTTCATTTTATGGACACAGCGAGCACCAGAGTGTTGGGATCTAGAGATTCTCCACCTTCTCCAGCAGAGTGCGCTGTGGATCTCCTGGGCTGGAGCCCTCCAGCACAGCTGACGTCCATCAGCCCATCAGGAGACCTGCCTATATAAGCAGCTGCCTTCCTTCAACGCCGCAGTGTTGACCAAGTTTGGTTAGCGAACCTGAGCCTCTGATATCTACTAGAACCTTTGCCTCTAAAGAGAAACCCAAATCTAACCTGCCTCTGTCTTCACTCTCCTAGGAAACCTGTCTCTCGCCTGTTACCTGCCTGCCTGCCCTAGAGAGCCAAACCTGAAGATCTCACTCTGGAATCCACCTGCTACTCTCTGGGAAAGAGCTATCACTCAAACCAAGGTCTGACACTAACAGTCAGAAGCTAGACGCTGCGGCTGCTGAGCACTCTGCTGAACCAACAGTCTCTGGACCCAACCGGTTCCCTCTCTCAGAGAAGAAAGCCTGAACCTAGTCAAGGTATTTTCAGAAATATCAGAAAACTCAACAACTCATCAGTAAATCTGGCTAATCAAACTATCCGTCTCTGCAGACGCCTGAGAATCCCTCCCGGACCTGTTTCCAGAATCCAGTTCTTGTTTACTTGTACAAACCTTTTAAATAAACTCTGTTTGAACTTTTAACCAGTCTCCAGTGGTGTTTGTTCTGCATGTGGGTTTATATCCTAAACCAACCATGACACAGAGCACAATTACCGCAGATAAAGCTGCATAGTAAAACAAAGGAGCTGCGATAACACACCTTTGAAGGCGTCCAAAAGCCGTATTATAAATCCAATCTTCAATTGTTTATACTCCATTTGTCCATTAGGGTCCACAGATTAAAAGTAATCCAGTATATTTGTAATAAAAACATTCCCTGATGAGAAAATCAATCCGTTTTTTTTACAATCATAAAAGTTCGATTCTTACAGCTGATGCTAACCATTACCATAGTTTACGGAGATATATCCGTTTAATTTTGGCTATGTTTGTTTTCCTCACCTTCCAGCCCACAAAACAAAAATCCCCCCCCTCCACCCTGTTTTGAGATTTGACTCCAGGACAGCCGTCAAAGCATCAAAGCGCTTGGCTCAGCTTTCGTGTATTATGCATGACTCCCCTCATCTTATTCCTCATAAAGCCCAGCTGCTTTTGGTTATGTCCATACGCAGTGTTTGGCTCTCTACCCAATGAAATTACCTTTAAAACGAGGCTAATGGCAAATTTCAATAATGCAGCCCAGATATATATCTGGGTGTAAAAGGTAGAGAGGCAGATCCTGGATCATTGAATTTAGATAATTAGATGGAAAGTTAGAAAAATGAAAAAAATATTAGTTTCAAAAATATTTTGTGGCCATCAAAATGCTCCAGATATCCAAATATAAATATATATATATAAATATATGTATATAAATACATATTTATTCAGATATTCATTGATTTCTGTAAACCCATACCCCCACCCCCCCACCCCCAGCCCACCGTGCGAGGCAATTAATATATTGCTAGATCCGCAACTGTGTGTTTCTATTATTTGTTGTTTGAAATACGTGATGTTACCACAGTTTTTCTTGTGGCTGTTTTGGAGATAAAGCCCTAGAACGGGAGGCTAAAAAAAACATGTTTTATTTTTGTGTGAATAAGCAGTTTAATCATTTTGAAAGCCTTCAGTGAGTCACCAGAAGAACTGAAAACAATAGAAGCACGTGATTGATGTGAATGTGCACATAAAGGACTCCGTTATTTTATTTTGACTTTGTAAACTCATATGCAGCATTCTTTTTTTTTTTTTTTTTACTTGACACAAATAATTAAACAGTTCATCTCACCAGATTGGAATGCCTACAGCCTGAAACAGGGAAATACACTATGTGGCCAAATCATTCACTTATCTTCAACATTAATTTGTGTAGCAACTACTTGGCAGTATACAGTATTTCCAATTATTATTTTATCACCTGGTTCACCTACTACAGCCACTTTGGGAACTGCGTAACTAGTAAGTCATCTTTTTTATATGCTAATGTAAAAATCAACATTTCCCTAATGAACTAAGTTTGGGTAGGGCTGGGACTCATGTATTTGGGGAAGATCAACCTGTTCTGCTAGAAAGGTATCTGCTAATGCTGACTGTCTAATTTTACTTGCAGATCAATAGATTGACCTCTCCTTCTGCAAACCAAAGTGAGCAACAAAATATAAGTGTGGAAGCATTTGGATACGGTTCAAATGATCTACTTTAGCCATAAATTAGGAAAATAATGTAACAAATGATCACAAAGAGAATGAAAAATCCAGACTGACCCATATCAATATTGTTTTAATATTGGGAAGACCAAAAAGCTGGGCTCTAAACAATTCTAACTCACATACAGCCATACATAGATGCTGTATCATAATCTTAAAAAGGGGTGTTGAAAAAGCATTGAAAGCAAATGAGTTAAAACAGTTCTGTAAGAAAAGAAGGACAAAATTCCAGATGTAGAAGATTTGTTCCCAGCTTTGTCATGTGCTTTGTTGGATTTGGGGCAGAATTAGCATTTGAAACAGGGCCAGGTTGGTTTGGACATATTTTCCCACTTAAAATATGAATAGGAAACTACATCTTGTATATTTTCAGAGTCGTTTTTCAAATCTTGATATATATTTGATGAAATTTAGTCGTGTCATTAGTAGAGTTCATTTGCTCCTGAGGTACATAATGCGTCCACTCAGCTTGTGATACAGTGAACTCTGTCCATCTGCTGGTCTCCATCGTTTTCCTCTAATTCCTGCTTGGTTTGTGGTCAGAGGCATTACCATCTAGTCTAAGAGCCGTGTGATGTTTTATTACAAAAAGGGACCCCATTTACATTACTGTCAGGTGAAGAAGCTTTGTTCAAATGGAAATGTTGATACTAAAGCTTTAAGGTTTGAGCTCAAAGCAAACTGCTTGAGACAATGAAAAGCATGTAAAAGTAAAATCAACCGGCTAGGGGAATGATAAAAGGGCAGCTTTGCAAAGATCCAAAAAGCTATTACATAAAATGGGAGCCCAGCTTTGGCATGCTGAACATCATCATGTCTGTATGCTGATAATAAACCTCAAACCACTTTGTGAATTGATCGACTGCTGTAAGTATTTGCAAATTTAGCTCTAACCTTCCTGTAAATAACTTTACAACAACAGTCACATAAGGAGTGTGGCGCTATTGCAAAACGGACAGCCTGAATCCTCTGTGTCTGTTTTGAAGCCCCATTCCCTCATGAATGTTGACATAGTCTCTTTGTACCGTATTTTCACGACCATAAGGCGCACCGTACTAAAAGGCGCACTCTCAGTTATGTGTGCCTTTCTGTATTTAACACACACATGAGGCGCACCGGACTATAGGGCGCGTTTTTTATATACAGGTACATGTCCTCTACTACCTTTAAATACCTCTACTGCGTATTTAAAAATACAGCGGGGGCAAAACTGAGTATGATTGTGCTATATTCATGTATTTATTACAAAGTATTAATCAAACCTGGGAGCTGGCCGTGAGACAGACACATCGCAAATGACACAGCGCTGTGATCACTCCTAAATTAAAGTATGTTCTCTCTTTCAGGGTGAGGAGTATGGATGGTCTCCCATTTCAAGAAAAACAGTAAATAGAATGGTTTATTGGAATCTTTTTGTGTTTTACACTTGTCCTTCACCAACAACATGTGCTCATATTTAGGTAAAACATGCAAGGCTAACTTGTTTGTCCCCCTTTGTCTATTGTGAGATGGCGAGGCAAAGATGGCGACACAACATGGTGTCTTCTATTGAGTGCACCACCGCCTATCTATTGATAAACAACTTAGTCTAAGCTACAGTAGGGGAACACTTTTATTTTTGATAAGATGCTGTTAGACATTTGAGAAAAATGTATTGATAAAAGCAATACCTACATTTAGCTAATATCAGTTCAATTAGTTGCACAATGTTCCTTCAATGTTATTACTTGTGCTGTAAACAAATATCTATCATGATCTGCCCTGATAGCTGGCCTTAATGGTTCATGCCTTTCTCCTGCGTAACTCTGCCTGGTCTCCAATTATCACCAATCTCATCCACCTGCATCTGTTCCTTTATATTGGGCTCTGTTCCAGCTATTGGGGCCAGATCATTGTTTGCTGTTTGGTTGTTTCCTGTTAGATGTCTTTATGTTCTGTTTTCATAAGTTTTAGTTAGTCTAAGGTTCTTGTCCCCGATTCCAGTTGGAGATTATTCTGGAGCCAACCTCTTCAGGTGAGTTTTTTCCCTAGCCAGTGGTGAGAATGTTTCAGAGTTTCCTTTGTGATTCTTATCTCCTGATTCCATTCCCTCTCACCCACTGGCCCTGTCTGTCCCCGTCTGATCTGAACCACCTTTGGACTCCTGCTGGATTCTGCCTGTCTGTGTGTTTATGTCTAAATTGGTTGCTCGATGCACGGGACTCTGAACCTGCCTTCACGCTCTGTTTGATCCCTGGAACCCGGATCTGTCTGTTCCTGTGTGGATTGGAACCCCTGACAGGACTGCGGACTCCTGGATTTCAAGATCTACCCCAGTCTGATCTGAATCCCTGTCCTGGATTAGAGTCCTGCTTGCTCACTGCTTGCTGCATCGGTGACGCTCTGGAGGGCATAGAGCTGCATCGCGTTGGCAGTGCATGGGCTGATCCTGCGTATTATTGAGAGGATGGACTGAACTGTTAAACCAGGTAAGTGCCTCACTTGGAGAATCATCTCCTGTCATATGATTGTGGTCACTTACCTGGGTTTTTTCCCTCCAGCGAGTCAATGTTTGGGCGGTTCCTGGCTGCAGGTCCACAGATCCACATCAGCTCTGCGCTTCTGTTCTGTCTCTTTAAGTTTTTGTTTTAATAAATGTTTTGTACTTTTCTACTGATTGTCTCACCTTGAATACTAGGTCCATCTGTCCCGTTTTATGACAATATCAGACAATATAGAAGAAAGAATGTCAAATTATAAGCACAAGCCTTCAAAGAAGTAATGAAAAAAAGAAAACAATATCTCATATAAAAGCTTGGCGTACCTTGGCACTGTATCCAGTATACCTTAAAAAACAAAACAGGAAAGTGGATGATTAAAAGACAAGTGAAAACACAGATGTTAGGACAGATTAAGTTTTCTGAGACTTATTATTTCATCTATTTTCTGTCGCTGCTCTATTTTTGCAAAGTTGGGAGACTGCTGGTGTCTCTAGCAGTCAATCGATGAGTGGTGAAGTACACCATGCACATAAATAACAAAACTACTTAGAAATGCCCATGCTAGACACAAACTACAAATCTGGCTGTGATGAAACCATGGAAAGTCTTTTCGAGTAGTGTAGAATGATTGTGAAAAAAGAACAGAGCAAAAGACAGAAAGCATCCAAAGAACTCTCTTAAAAGCCTTAGAGAGGTACCTTCAGCATGAAGGTTCAGGGGGTTGTAAACGAATAAAAAGTGGCCTCGAAGAAATATAGATCTGTTCATTTTTAAACTGTTGAAACTCCCCATGTTTTTGGCTTTTGAATCTATAAATAAATGAACCATTGCACAGTTCTGTCAAAGTGTCTTATTTTGTTTCCTGAAAAGTGAGACTAATAAATCATGTCTTTGGACAGATTTTTGGACAAGCACTTCTGCCAAAAAGGCT